AGAGAGAGAGAGAGAGAGAGAGAGAGAGAGAGAGAGAGAGAGAGAGAAAGACTACGAAAGACATGGTGGGCCGACATTTTTGAAAACAGAAAGTCCTACAATCTAAAAATGTTAACTAGTAAGTTAAGTGAAATGCATGTATTTTTTAAAAAAATTAGTTCTTGAGAATTTCATACAATGTGTTTTGATAATATTCAATTCCCCCAACTCCTCCTAGACACACTCCCCCTTACCTACTCAAGCAATTTTTATCCCTTGTCTAAACTTATCAAGTCCAATTTATGCTGCTCATATATTCTCGTGTATATTGCCTTCACTGGAGTGTGGTTGACCTACCAGGGACTTCATTCTTAAAACTAACATTTCCTTTCCCAGCAGTTGTTGTCAGTAGCTAGAGTGGGACTTCATGACAGTAATGGGTTTCCATATGACTTTTTAAAAAGGTCTTTAGTGTTACCCTTCCCCATATTGCCTCCTGTTGCGCTGCCCTCCCAGCTCCACCCCAGTTTAACTTTTCATGAGGGTTGAATGAGAAATTTCCCCCATATTTGAGGATGTGGTCCCCAGTTGGTGGCACAGGAGGCTACAATTAAAAGAAAGCCTTGAGTCTCAGAAGAGAATTGACAGTTTAGACTTTTTAACAGTGTTGAGGCTGAAAGACTATGGGGACTTTTGAAGTTGGACGAAATGTATTTTGCATACTTGACTGTGAGTATATGGGAGCCAGGGAGTGGGTTGTTTATTTCCTAGATGATTAGGGTTTTTTTTCCTTAGTTCTTTACATACTCTTGATACTAACCCTTTGTCAGATATATAGACAGTAAAGGTCTGATGCTGTTGTTATTGTTTTCCATTCTGTAGGCTGCCTCTTCACTCAAATGATGATGTCTTTTGCTGTACAGAGCTTTTAAGTTCCAGGAGGTCCCTTTAGTAGTTGTTGATCTTAATGCCTGCACTATTGGGGATCCTGTCCAGAGCATCTCTCTCTCTCTCTCTCTCTCTCTCTCTCTCTCTCTCTCTCTCTCT